TGATGACGATGACGATGATGATGACGATGACGATGATGATGACGGTGACGATGATGATGATGATGATGACGATTTTTTTGTTTGTTTCCTTAATGGGCCTGGCGGACTCCACGAAGAAATCTTCGAGCGAGAGCGAGGCTCTTTTCCGGCTCCATTGTCAATATGCTTAGCGGCACCTCCACTCGTCCAAATAACTCCATTCGAATTGCCATTGTTCCTGGACATTCAAACATATGTTTGAAGCTCTGATGACGATGACGACGATGATGATGATGATGATGATGATGACGATTGTGATGATGATGATGATGATGAGGATATAATGATGATCATGATGACGATTGTGATGATGATAATTATGATGATCATCCTCATCAGAGTGTTCCACTCCGCAGGCCACCCAAACTTTGGTCGGACTAACCTACAAACTACTCCCAATATTTTTTTTCCGAACCGGGCGAGGTCAGTTATAGAACGTCATTCACAGTTCAGTGGGCCGCCCTTGCTGTGCCTCAGTGCAGGCAAACGATAAGCTCGTACTACTAGTATTAACTAGTGACGTGCGACCTATCTACATCATGTGGGTAACCTTGGTGGTTTTTAATTTTAACAATAACTACTCTAGTTGGTCATGCGATTTCGGTGTAGTTATTTTTAGTACGGGTTTCACTACACTTGCGTAAGGCATTGCCATTTCTGTAAGTGCCAAAGAATAGATGTCGTGTGGCTAAACAGTAAGACTAATAATGCATACACCCAAAAATAAAAAGGTGGTGAGACGGGGGGGGGATAGATTTCTTGATTGGTGTTTGATAGGAAAGAAGGAGCGACCCGCACCAGAGCGCCCGCCAACCACCCACGGTTCAAGTGAACCACGTCAAAGCTGTGGCACCAGAGCACCCGCCGACCACCCAAGGTTCAAGTGAACCACGTCATGCAAAGCTGTGGTACCCGTCAAGAGCTGGAGCATAAGTACGTCAGGCGAATAGATTCATCGTCCGGGGGTGGCGGGGGCGAGGAGGGGAGGGGAGGGGGTGGGGGCAGAATGCGGAGTGCGGAGGGGATGAGGAGTGAGGATAGGAAGAGGAGGGGGGAGAGGGAGGAGGAGGAGGAGTGGGGGGAGGGGGGGTAATGAAATACGCCATTGCGTGGCGCCTTTTAACACTTTAAAGACGCGTCAGACAGATTTATGTGACCAAATACAGCTCAAAGTCAATGTTGTTGCACATTTCAAGCCCACACATACACAAAGCACAAACACAACATTTGACATTTCATATTAATATGAATGTTGCTGCCAGCCTTTCTACATTTCAGAAAAAGAAAACAGAATTGGAAAATCTGTATGGATGTAGCGAAGTTAAGCTTTTCCAGTGGGTGGTTGGCGGGTGTCTGGTGTGGTTTGCTTCTTCTTTCCTATCAAAGATCTATCGTCCTTATCTCCCCTTCTTCTTTTGTATGTTTGTTACTCTCTTGTAACACCTCTAATCTTCTGGTACTCATATGACCTTATGCACTTGCGAGTGCCGTAAAACCTCTACTAAAACTAACAAAACTAATACTAATATGCTGTTGCCGGCCTTTCTAAATTTCAGAAAAAGAAAACAGAATTGGAAAACCTGTATGGATATAGATCTGGCGAAGTTGAGCTTTTCCAAGCATTTGAATGGACAGGCTTGGCGTCTCCAATGAGTTCAACATGAGCTGCTGCCATAGAATCTCACAGCTCTGTCTGTCCAATACCCAGTTTGGAGACATTTGACGTCAATGTTTATGATATTTCACAAGTCAACCTTTTTCGAATACAATTTTTAAAATATCTTGATAAGGACTCTGAGCAATTTTACGATTTTGATACAACAGATAGGACATTTTGTTTCTGACGTCACGGTCTTATAAGTAACTCAAGACGACCAAAAATGTCAGAATGTGCTTTGTGATTGAAATATAGTGTGAGTGTTATCAATAAAACAACAGCCACACAGAACAGAGTAAAGCAAAAAGGCCAGAGAGCCGTACAAACGGACTAAATTATGAGCGGGAAGTAACGAAGCAGGATCTGACAATAGCATCCAGTACATCTTACTTTACGTTACTTTACTTTACTTTTATCCGCCGCTTATACATGTACCTTTTGGGTGTCGCGGAAAGAAAGAGACGTCTCTCTGTCGCCAGCCGGAGAGCTTGG